AGTCGACGCGGAGCCGCCAAGCGTCTATGTGCGCCTGTTCGACGATGGCCGCGCTGAGCGGCCGCAGTTTTATGCACACAGCATTGGTTAATGGTTTGCCCATCTCCTTATTCGCTACCGCTTATAATTGCCATTGTTCCATAAATTTCTAATGGGTCAACATGGTTCAGGCATGTGGAAGTGCCTCACCGATACGGTTCAGGCGTACCGGGCGCATAAATGAGCCCACATGGTTCACACATTTGTGGCTTGGTGCTGCGTCGATGTGGTTCACGCATACCTGACGAACAGCGAGTTTTTAATGATCAGCATGGTTCAGGCATGTTGAATTGCCTCTCCGATACGGTTCAGGCGTAACTGGCGCATAAATGAGCCCACATGGTTCACACATTTGTGGCTTGGTGCTGCTTCGATATGGTTCACGCATATTTGACGAACAGCGAGTTTTTAATGGATCAACATGGTTCAGGCATGTTGAATTGCCTCCCCGATACGGTTCAGGCGTAACTGGCGCATAAATGAGCCCACATGGTGCACGCATGTGTGGCTTGGTGCTGCGTCGATACGTTGATACGGTTCAGACATACCTGGCGAACAGCGAGGTTTACTGTGTCAACATGCTTCAGGCATGTTAAATTGCCGCACCAATACGTGTCAGAATACCGGACGCGTAGATGAGCCCAGATGGTTCAGGCATGTGTGGCTTGGAGCCGCGTCGATATGGTTCATGCATACTTTACGAACAGCTAATTTAACGGTCAACATGGTTCATGCATGTTGAATCGCCTGACCGATACGGGTCAGAGAACCGGGCGCGTAATCCAGCCGCCCACATGATTCAGGCATTTTTGGCTGAGGGCCGCGTAGATATGATTCAGGCATCACGACGAACAACGCATTTAACTGTCAACATGATTCGTGCATGTTGAATTGCCGCACCGCTACTGGTCAGGCGTACCGGGCGCCTAAATGAGCCCACATGTTTCAGGCATGTGTGGCTGGGGGCTGCGTCGATATGGTTCATGCATACCTGACGCACAACGGATTTAACTGTGTCAACATGATTCATGCATGTTGAATCGCCACACCAATGCGTGTTAGAATACCCGGCGCATAAATGGGCCCGCATGATTCAGGCATGTTTGGTTGGGAGCTGCGTCGATATGGTTTAGACGTACCTGACGCACGACGGATTTAACTGTCGGCATGATTCATGCATGTTGAATCGCCTCATCGATACGGGTCAAAGAAACGGCGTATGTGAGCCCACATGATTCAAGCGTGTGTGGCTGGGAGCCACGTAGATATGGTTCAGGCATGCCTGACGAACAACGAATTTAGCTGTGTCAACATGATCATGCATGCTGAATTTCCGTACCGATACGGATCAGAGAACCGGTGTAGGGAAGCCCACATGACTCGGGCGTGTGTGGCTGGGAGCCACGTAGATATAGTTCAGGCATACTTGACGAACAACGAATTTAGCTGTGTCAACATGATTCATGCATGTTGCATTGCCGCGCCGATACGTGTCAGAATACCGGGCACATAGATGAGCCCACATGATTCAGGCATGTGTGGCTGGGAGCCGCGTCGATGTGGCCTCACGCCGATATGTTTCAGGCATACCGGTTGCATGAATGAGCCCACGTAATTCAAGCGCGTGTGTCTTATAGCCGCGTCGGTACGGTTCAGGCATACCTGACGAATAGCGAATTCTAACTGGGTGAACATGATTCATGCATATTTGGCCAATCGATTCTTCACGCCGATAAGGTTCAGGCATATCGGGGTACGGTTCAGGCATACCTGACGAGTAGCAAATTTAACTGGGTCAAACTGGGTCATGCATGTTTGATAGATCAATTTCTCACGCCGATATGGGTCAGGCAGACTGCCGGCGCACAAATGAGCTCACGTGATTCGGGCGTGTGTGGCTTGTAAGCCGTGTCGGTACGGTTCAGTCATATCCGACGAACAGTGATTGAACTGGGTCAACATGGTTCATGCGTGATCAATCGCTTCCTCACGCCGATATGGGTCAGGCCTTCCGGGCGCTTAAATGGACGCTGCGTCCATTGTCCTCCCTGACTGCGTGAGGGGTTATCCTGTGCAAATAGCTCCCGACCGACTGCTGGAGTCGTGGGTCTCTCCCCAGTGTTATCGGACAAAAGGTCAACCACTTGGCCCCACAGAGGTGACCCCTGCGTCCCTCCCGCGCCTTCCCCTCCCCCTCGTGAGCTGGCGGTGGTTTTACACGCCGCGACGCCCGGCGGCGGTGTCACGACGTGACGTAACGGCCCTATTACTCCTGACGGCCGAGTGTTGGCCGCCCGACCGGTGGGCGCGCACAGCGGAATGGGTGGGGGAGCCCCGTCCGCGGGAGTACAGCTGGCACTCCCCGGCGGCCATCACAGCGACAATGCTTTGATGTGTGCATTTGTCCTGGTGACGTCACCCGGCACCCAACGAATAGCGTCATTGGCTCCATCTAAGTCAGGTGAGGCGCCGCGTCGATACGGTTTAGGCATACCTGACGAACAGCGAATTTAACTGACAACATGATTCATGCATGTTGAATCGCCGCATCGGTACGGTTCAGGCGTACCGGGCGCATAGATGAGTGGGCAGTAATCGCCACGCCATGTGTGGATCGCCCATGATCGTAAATACATACATACATACCCACATGGTTCAGGCATGTGTGACTTGGCACTGCGTCGATATGGTTCAGGCATATCTGACGAACAGCGACTTTTACTCTGTCAACATGAATCAGGCATGTTGCATTGCCGCACCGATACGGTGCAGGCGTACCCGGCGCATAAATGAGCCCACATGGTTCAGGCATGTGTGGCTTGGAGCTGCGTCGATATGGTTCAGGCATACCCGACGAACAGCGAGTTTTACTGTGTCAACATGATTCATGCATGTGGAATTGCCGCACCGATACGGTGCCGGCGTACCCGGCGCATAGATGAGCCCACATGGTTCAGGCATGTGTGGCTTGGCGCTGCGTCGATATTGTTCAGGCATATCTGACGAACAGCGAGTTTTACTGTCTCAACATGATTCATGCATGTTGCATTGCCGCACCGATACGGTGCAGGCGTACCCGGCGCATAGATGAGCCCACATGGTTCAGGCATGTGTGGCTTGGCGCTGCATCGATATGGTTCAGGCATATCTGACGAACAGCGAGTTTTACAGTGTCAACATGATTCATGCATGTTGAATTGCCGCACCGATACGGTGCAGGCGTACCCGGCGCATAAATGAGCCCACATGGTTCAGGCATGTGTGGCTTGGCGCTGCTTCGATACGGTTCAGGCATATCTGACGAACAGCGAGTTTTACTGTGTCAACATGATTCATGCATGTTGCATTGCCGCACCGATACGGTGCAGTCGTACCCGGCGCATGAATGAGCCCACATGGTTCAGGCATGTGTGGCTTGGCGCTGCGTCGATATGGTTCAGGCATATCTGACGAACAGCGAGTTTTAATGTGTCAACATGATTCATGCATGTTGCATTGCCGCACCGATACGGTGCAGGCGTACCCGGTGCATAATGAGCCCACATGGTTCAGGCATGTGTGGCTTGGCGCTGCATCGGTATGGTTCAGGTATATTTGACGAACAGCGAGTTTTACAGTGTCAACATGATTCATGCATGTTGAATTGCCGCACCGATACGGTGCAGGCGTACCCGGCGCATAAATGAGCCCACATGGTTCAGGCATGTGTGGCTTGAAGCTGCGTCGATATGGTTCAGGCATATCTGACGAACAGCGAGTTTTACTGTGCCAACATGATTCATGCATGTTGCATTGCCGCACCAATACGGTGCAGTCGTACCCGATGCATAAATGAACCCACATGGTTCAGGCATGTGTGACTTGGCGCTGCGTCGATACTGTTCAGGCATATCTGACGAACAGCGACTTTTACTCTGTCAACATGATTCATGCATGTTGCATTGCCGCACCGATACGGTGCAGGCGTAACCGGCGCATAAATGAGCCCACATGGTTCAGGCATGTGTGGCTTGGCGCTGCGTCGATATGGTTCAGGCATATCTGACGAACAGCGAGTTTTACTGTGTCAACATGATTCATGCATGTTGCATTGCCGCACCGATACGGTGCAGTCGTACCCGACGCATAAATGAACCCACATGGTTCAGGCATGTGTGACTTGGCGCTGCGTCGATACGGTTCAGGCATATCTGACGAACAGCGACTTTTACTCTGTCAACATGAATCAGGCATGTTGCATTGCCGCACCGATACGGTGCAGGCGGAACCGGCGCATAAATGAGCCCACATGGTTCAGGCATGTGTGGCTTGGCGCTGCGTCGATATGGTTCAGGCATACCTGACGAACAGCGAGATTTACTGTGTCAACATGATTCATGCATGTTGAATTGCCGCACCGATACGGTGCAGTCGTACCCGGCGCATAAATGAGCCCACATGGTTCAGGCATGTGTGGCTTGAAGCTGCGTCGATATGGTTCAGGCATATCTGACGAACAGCGAGTTTTACTCTGTCAACATGAATCAGGCATGTTGCATTGCCGCACCGATACGGTGCAAGCGTACCCGGCGCATAAATGAGCCCACATAGTTCAGGCATGTGTGGCTTGGCGCTGCGTCGATATGGTTCAGGCATATCTGACGTACAGCGAGTTTTACTGCGATTTGGGTCAGACCGGTCGCCGAATGAGCCCGTGTACCTGACGAACAGTGAATTTAACTGGGTCTACATGGTTCATGCATGTTGATTGTTGCTGCTCTGCACCGGTATGGGTCAGGCATACCAGGCGCATTAATGGGCCCACACGATTCAGCCATGTGTATAAGCAGCGTCGGTACGGTTCTGTCGTACCTGACGAACAGCAAATTTAACTGGGTCAACATGGTTCAGACATGTTGGTTCTCCGCTCTGTGTTACTGTGGTCTGTGACATAGACGACGAGCCGGTATATACATTCATACCCAGATGGAGCGGGTGGTATTGTATCAGTTGTTCACTATCAATGACTCTGGACACACACATCTGCCATGTGGTCTCTGCACAACGGTCTATCCCACTGGTATTGATTCGTTCACAGCATCAGCATAATCCATTCGCTTGACTTTTCGGCGAGTCAGCCATGCAGGCAGCAGGCTCCTTATATGACTAGTATCGCTAGCACGCTAGCCTGACTTACCGGCCATGTCCGTCTCCCTTGGTCCCCCTCTGCTGAGCACCAGGTACTCTGTCGCTCCACAAACCTGTCTCCCGGCCTTGTCTACTTTTCCTGCTCGCTCGTTTTACAGCGCTTAGCTCGACGCTCGATTCCCACTCTCTCGCTTTGTCCGTCACCTCTGCGACCGCACGCTCGTTTTCCACAGCCTGTCGCTTCGTTTCCACCCTTCCGCACCGTCCGCCGCCTCTGAGCGCGCGCCTTGGACTGCCCGACCTGTTTTGCGGCCTGTGTACTGTGCGTGTCTTATCTCGCCTCGGCCGAAGCCCGGTCCCCTCCCCCTGGACCCGGGTCGTCAACCGCGCCACGACTCGGGTCTCCTCCCACCCCTCTGCCCCTCCCTCCCTCCTCGTGCTGGCCATCCTCCGCTCCCTCTATTCGAGCCCCAAATCAAGCTAGTAGCGCCATTCATGTTACGCGCACTGGCGCGGCTCGACATTCACCAGAGCACAAACATATCCGGCGAGCGCCCGCAGGCTCTGGGAGCGCCGTCGGGGCTGCTGTGGCCGCGCAGGGACCCATACATCTATTGTGGCGGGCCGGGGCCGCGGGCCGCGCCGATCGCCACCAGCCGGAGTCAACAGTGGTCAGGGAACCGGCGAGTGTCCAGTGTCCACCCTCGGCGGCAGGCCGAGATAAGGTGGGGATAGGTAGGGTAGGAAGAGCGGGCAGAGGGAACTGGGGATCGTACTCTGCTAATTAAACGCATCGCAGGAACGACTGCGGCACGGCGCAGAGACATTGTTCAGGTACGACAGAGGCCATGCTCTGATACGGCAGACTTCGCTCGAGTACGGCCAGAGACCAGGCTAGGTACGACAGAGACCAATCGATGGTACGGCAAAGACCAAGCTCGGTATAGGTGTTACGGCCCGTTTGAAAACCCGGTCCGTATTAAATTAATACTGACCGGAGGCCTGGCCCGTATTAATACGACCCCCGGTCAGCATTATTGCGGACTGCCTCGTGGTCGGCATTAATACGGGCCGGGCAGTATTAATACAGGCCACTTTTTTCCTCGCGGCCATATCAAGACTTGGGCCATATCAAAACTAGCCAACTACAGTCCTATTTCTGTTACGGACTAACTACAGTCCTGTAATTAGTCCTATTTCATGTCTTGGCAAATGCTCCGTAGGCCTGCAGTGACCCAAGGTCACCCCCTGAGGTGACCTTGGGTGAGGTGTTAGATCTGCTCATATTCTCCTAGGCAACATCACTGGCGGATCCAGGCTTGCGTTTTGGGGGGGGGGGGGCAACTCATGCAGGAGCCAAACCTAGGGTACCCCCAAATCCTGTTTTCTCATCGGATTTAGGCCACTTATTTTTCGTCACAGCCCTGACACTATGAATATTTTTTTCTTAAACTAAAAATAAAAATATATAAATGGTAGCCCACCCGACCCATGCCTTTATATTACTTTGTAAACACTTACCATTGCTTTTGTCGACCAGCTAACCCGCTAGTCAGTGCTTGGGTCCCTTTGCGGGCCGGGAGGCGGTAAAACACCCCCTGTCTAACTCGGCTCCTGGGCCAGGCACTGATTGAACTATGTTTCATTATCGCTTGGGGAGGGGGCAAACGGGCCACTTTAGGCCTTTGGGAAGGGGGCATGGCCCTAAATGCCCCCTCCCTGGATCCGCCAGTGTAAGAGACCATTGGAGCTGCAGTTGGGTACCTCAGACGTCAGGGTACGCCCTCAGATGTATAGGACTCGCATGGAGACCTCTTATACTATAGTGGACTGAAAGGACCCAAAGGAGCCTGTCTAGGGCTCCCGGAGATAGACGTGGGCCCTCAGGAGCCCGCCAGAGCCCCCAATGAGGGATAAGTGAGGGATACCAAGTGCCTGCAATTGCATATTGCATAAGCCATAACGCCATTACAAATCAATATAATATGTATCAGTGGCAGATCCAAGGGGGCCACATGGGTCATGACCCCCCTTGGTGCCCGGGGGCACCACAGGCCTATCCGTGGGCGGCACGGGCGGACATCGATAGCAGCGCCTCTATCGGTCACTAGGGAAAGCTGGGCTGTAGGCGACGAAATAGGTACCGGCTGAGTTGTCACAAGTTAGATAGGTTTATAGACATCCGTCTTGTGAAAAAGTTGAACTTTTGCCTTCAATATTTCTACAGGCAATTTTAGAAGTGCCTTCACATAGATTACAAAACCGTTTAAATTATTTTATTCACTTCAAGCCTTCCCTATTGTTCTTGATGATGCGGGAACTATTTCTAATTAGTGTTTCTAGCTTAGTAAAAGAACATATTGTGCAAACGATGAAAAAAGCATAAATGGAAGATTTTAAATGCAATTTTCTGTAACAAATAATGGTAAATTCTCTACACATCAAGGAAAAGGTGCATGCTAACTGATAATTTAAAGTTCTTGGGGCCAGTTGGTTTCTTCTTTTCTTACGTCGCCCCAATGGCCGCGAATACACTTGTGATAACGCCTATCGCAGGGGCACCACCGGCCTAGCAGGGGCACCACCAGCCCGCCAGGGGCACCACAGGCCTAGCAAGGGCACCACGGGCCTGTGAGGGGCCCCACAGGCTTGTCAGGGGCACCCCAGGTCTGTCAGGGACACCAGAGACCTGCCAGGGGCGCCGCCGGCCTCGCAGGGGCACCATGGGCCTGTCAGAGGCACCAGAGGCCTAGCAGGGGTACCACAGGCCTTACAGGGGCACCACCGGCCTTGCAGGGGCACCTTGGGCCTGTCAGGGGCACCACAGTCCTGTCAGGGCCCAGGGGCACCAGCGGCCTAGCAGGGGCACCACAGGCCTGCCAGGGGCACCACCGGTCTGCCAGGGGCACCACCGGTCTAGCAGCGGCACCACCGGCCTCGCAGGGGCACCATGGGCCTGTCAGGGGCCCCACCGGCCTCGCAGGGGCACCACCGGCCTCGCAGGCATCAAGGCATCACGCAGGGGCACCTTGGGCCTGTCGGGGGCATCACGGGCCTGTTGGGGGCACTTAAGGCTTGTCAGGGGCACCACAGTCCTGTCAGGTCCCAGGGGCATCAGCAGCCTAGCAGGGGCACCCTAGGCCCGCCAGAGGCACCACAGGCCTGCCAGGGTCCAGGGGCACCACAGACCTAGCAAGGGCACCACGGGCCTGTCAGGGGCACCTCAGGCTCCCGTGCCCCCCCCCCCCCCCCCGGATCCGCCAGTGATGCCACACCACGCGAAACACCGCCAACTCCCAGCTACCGCGCCATAAACACGTGCCAACAACAGTCTTTTTTGAAGGTCGACTCGCTCGCGCAACTTTTGACTGACCCTCGCTGCTACCATATTACTTCCATATTATGCTGTGGAAAGCTTTACTTCACCAAGTGGCTAAAAACCTCCATCAAGGTATATTTTCTTAGCAATTTTTCTGACGTTTTGGGGGGCCAAACAGGCCACTTTAGGCCTTTGATGGGGGGGCCATGGCCCCCGTGGCCCCCCCCGGATCCGCCAGTGGGCAACATCTAGATGAATACCGCTAGTTGTCTTCACGGAATCATGAAATGTCTTCGTTTGTTTTCTCTACATGATATTTTGAACTGTTTTGATCATGTATAATAACATCTATTTTATCGAGCACGCTTTGTTCTATATCATTCGCGAGCATTAGTTACAACTGCTTGTCCTATTCGCAGCCTTTCGAACTTGATTCGCTAGTCTCGGGGTACTAGTTCCGGAATTGTATGGAATGGTTGTGGATTCGAGGCGTGACTGGCGAATGTTCACATAGGGCGTTCAACTTTTATCAGTAAGCCACCATCAATATGGACATGCATTCATAGCTAATGTAATTGATTTTGAAGGAAACTGATATTTTTTCACTAAAAGGTGGGCAGCATTAAAGGGACTATCCCACCTTCTAAAATGTTGTTAAAACCAGTTAAATTGTGGCCGACTTTATAGATTGGATGACCAGGAACACGGTTCTGGCATTTATTTTTCATTAAACAGCTTAGGCTTCCCATATTCCAAACACAAACTTTCAAATATGTGACGTCACAGCCCAAAATTACCTCCTTCCCCAGGCCACATTACTGTCATAAAGCTGATTCTTTTTACTCTGTAGGCACCACAACAAAGTTCAGACCAAGTTCTAAGCGATTTTTCAACGAACAAACCCATTTAAATCAGAATGACTAAACGAGGTGACGTCACACTAACGGTCGCTCCATGTTGAAGATAGGGCCTTGTACAAGGCCCATTTTCAAATGAAGGGAACGAATTTCTTCAACACCAAGAGGCCGCGGGGGTTGCAACCTAGATAGATAGTGGTTTCTGAACCTCGCCGCAAACTTGGCTATCTCAACTCAAACCCCATGTTAAAGGTGGGATAGTCCCTTTAATACTGCCCACCTAAATCGGCCGCATTAATACCGACCGGCAAGGCGGCCCGCATTAATGCTGACCGGCCCGCATTAATACGGGCCGGACCTCCGGTCAGTATTAATACGGGCCGGGCAGCATTAATACAGGCCGGGTTTTAAAACGGGCCGTAACATAGGTACCACAGAGATCAAGAGCAGGTACGGCAGACATTGCTCGGGTACAACAGGCACCAAGTCCGCGGGTACGACAGAGACTGAGTCCGCGTACAACATCGCGCTCTCGCCTCTCCAGTACGGCGTGGTTGTAACGGTCATATGGATGTCGTGGATTCAAGCGTGGCGTGGGACACTGTAGAAAAAAAGACCATCGCAATAGGAAGCAGGAATAAATATTATCACGGACAAGTCATACCTTTGATT